GATGTGACATTCTTCAAACTATTCCAAAAGGGTGTGGGATTTTTCAAACCATTTCAAAAGCAATACAAAAATTCCTTAATAAGCTTTGGATAAATGTGTAATGTGTAACACTCTAATGTAACACATAAAAAAAACTTCTTAGTGTAACATTTTTATATAACACAAAAAAACTCCTTAATGTAACATTTTTATGTAACACAAAAAAATTCTTAGTGTATTAATACTTTAATGTAACACATAAAAAAATTTCTTATTGTGCATTTTTCTCAAACGTAATACTCTAAAAAAATGATGTGGGATTCTTCATACCATTTAAAAAAAGATGTGAGATTCTTCAAACTATTCCAAAAGGGTGTGGGATTTTTCAAACCATTTCAAAAGCAATACAAAAATTCCTTAATAAGCTTTGGATAAATGTGTAATTTCAAACTGTGAATGTTATGTTTGGAAAAAGTATGCTAAGTAATTTTTTTAGTGTTTTTATGTGTGTTATATTGGAATGTTATGTTTGAGATTACATTGATGAGAGTGTTACGTTTGGAAAAACTACACTAGGGAGTGTTTTTAGTGTGCTACATTGGAGTATTGCATTTAAGAAAAGTTTGGAGTGTTACATTGTTACGTTTCAGAAAAGTACAACATCATTTTTTAGCCTAAAAGTCAAAAAGTCACTAAAAAAACCAAAAAACTAACAACTTATACAAAAAAGTCAAAGATTTCATTTTTTCTCTACTTTTTGCACATCTTTTTGTAAAAAACTAAAAAGTCATCCCCAAACATACTAGTTTTTTTTACATCATATTTTAGCCAAAATGTTACTAAAAAAACATGTTCCGAAACGGGGCCTTAAGAATTTTTTAGTGTGTTACATTAAAGTTACGTTATTGGAGTATTACATTGAAGTGTTATGTTCTTATTCGTAATGTGAGATTTGTTCTAAAATATTGCCCAAATGTGTAATTTCACATTTAGAGAAACTCATTTTTATCTCTTAAAAATTAAACCCAAACGTGTAAGTGACTACTTTTTTTTGTGTAATTTCTATTTTAATGGGACCTTTGGGTTCATGAGAAGAAAAAAAAGGACTAAATAATTTATAAGATCATATTTTGAGATTTATTGGTGTTTCACTAAAATATAAATATTATTTTTTAAAAAATTTTAAAAATTATTTCAATCTTAAGAAATATAATATCATATGAAATTTATGAATGTTTTTAAATTTTAAATTTTTATAAAAATATTTCAAAAAAATATATTCCAAAAATTAAACCAGACAATATCAATCACACGCACACATAAACACACACACACACACACACACACACACATATATATATATATACTAGTAGTCACCCGTGCGATGCACGGGATTTTACAAAGTGAACATAATAAATTTTAAAAAAAAAATTATGCTATTTAGTTGTATTTTCTAATATAAATAAAATATTTTTATTTAATTTGTGTATATAAATCTTATTATACATCATTCAAAATTTTTAATACTTCACAACATGAAAAATTAAAAAACATATCATATATAACATATATCAATTTAATAATTGCAATCAATTATTGAAATGAATTTTTAAGATATCATATATAACTAATAATTAGATCAATAGAGACTAAAAATGTATAGTAGTAGTTATACCAAATATTATAGGACAAATGATATATTTAAGAAACATGCATAATATATACATATATATATTTATTATGGTGAGTTAAAATGAAGTGATTGATAATTGTAATATGCACGAATTATTCAATAGAAATTCTTTTCAAGCCACCAGACACAAACTCAACTCTCGCTCGAGCGACAAACTCCTGGCTCGAGCGAAGGTTCAAAAATCTGGGCAGCAACACTAGGCTCCCAAACGCAACCAACCTGTAACAAACCTGCCCAACGCATCTTATAACTCAATATACAAAGTAAAGAGGATGCAAACTAGAAAATAAACAACTACCAACATTCACGGACACATGTCCGGATCACTGTACAACAAGGGTAAGCCTGGGATCACTATAATCTATAAATAATTCAAAAAAATATTAAAGAAAAAATCAAAGTGGTGGCTAAGACGGAGAATGGGCAATTGGAGTGAGCAATCGTTGCTATTATTGGGCCATGAAAGCGGGACGAAGGCAGAGATGAATCACCGATGTTGTAAATGGTGCAAGAAAGTGTGTCAGAGTTGGTAGCGACTCATTTGGTACAATGGGAGTGAGAGTAGGGTTAGGGTTAGGATTTGGATATGTTTTTCGGAGGTTAGAAATGATAGGAATAAAATTGAAATTTGGTATTGGGTTAAATTTGCAATAAAAATATGAAAGAAATTGGGGTCTAAAAAGGAGAAAATGGGGTGCTAATAGTAACACCATCCGTAAATTAATGATTTAAATTTTACTTACCTATTAACCCATTAAATAACGGATCAAATTGAGTTTGCAAGTAGGTGGATAAATTCTAAACCATAGAATAAAAATACCAAAGTGGCACACATTTGAAACCCGAAAACCCGAACTAGACATCTTCCTAACAGCAAATTCATGATTTGTAGGGGATTAGTAAAGAATTTAATCCCTTGCTGGAGACTTACATAGCTTTGGCCACCATGCAATTCTATCTCTCCTTTAGAGGGGGGGAAAGAAAAATTAACAATCACAAAATCCCAAACTTCATCCGCAATTCTATGGCCATTATCCTATTACTTCTCAGAAATATCAGTCAACTAGAAATACAAAATGAATTACATACTACACAAAGTACAAACATCACAACTGGAGAAATTTCACCTAGTGCACACTGCACAACCTCACTTACCATCAACAAATACTAATAAATCAGCACAATTCTATCAAATTTAGATTTCTAGTAGAAGCGATCAACATACTTTGTAATAAAACCGAGGTTTCCTGAAGTCTAATTTGGGCTGAAGGAAGATTTTCCGGGATCCAAACACACAATAGAAAGTCATCATTAATTTGTCTTTTATGATGCAGGATAACCAGCAAGAAAATCAAGAAGTCAAAGTGGCTCTCACATATAACAACAACAACAACAACAAAACCATGCTCTTAAAGATCAAGAAAGCATAACCATCATTATTACAACCCCAATTCTTAAAGCTACTGTTGGACCATTTTAATATCTTATATTTATTTTTGGTTTATCTTTTTCATAAATGGGGTTTTATTACTTTGGTAACCTCTTGGTCATAAATGGAGGTTAAATAGAATTCATGAACTTGGTTAATGGTCATTATTTTGGTGTAACCATTTTCTTGTTTAATGGTCATTATTTTTGGTGTAACTGTAAGGTCCTTATAGCCTATACATAATCTACTACGACGAAGATGGTTTTGAATGCTTAATGAAATTGACACTAGACTACTTGACTGAATTGGAATACCTCATCAATACAACAGATGGGGTTCCCCAGAGTGCTTTTCCTGTGAGTGTCTGTATCTTCGTAATCTATATAATTTCAAAGGGATTACTAGCCATGAATGTCATGAATACCGACTACCGAACACGGCTTTCCGTGCATTGAAAGAGTTGGTACTATATTTCTTGCCTGAATTGACAAATATGTGGAAGGGTCCCACCCAACTTGTATGGCTCGGCAACCTGACGTCTGTAGATGTGTTCTGGTGTCATAAACTACAAACTACGTTCTCACTTTCCATAGCTAGAGATCTAAGGAAACTGCAGGACGTTCGGATAACTCACTGTGGCATGATGAAAGCAATTGTTTCAAGTGAAAAATGATTTATATTTACGAAAATTATAAAAATTATATAATTAATTATTATAAATTATTATTATATATAAAAATTATATTATTTCAATGCTTGAGTGTTGTGGGTGTGGCCATTGGTGTGTGTGTCATTGTGTGGGTTGGCTTTGGTTGGTAGTAGAAACGCCATTTCAAATGGCCAAAAAAAAAAAAAAAAAAAAAAATTAGGCTGCTGCCCGGACAGTGTAGGCACAGCCTACACTGTCACAGCCGGGCAGTGTTACATCAAGGGCAAATTTACCATTTTGTCCCTTTATATCAATTTTAAAAATAAAAAGTTAGGGATAAATCTGTCATTTTAAATTTAAACATCATTTCAACACACTTTCCAATACAACAACTCAACTAAAAATTCATCTCATCTTCCCAAACACAAAACTAAAATAGCCTATTAAAATAGCCAAAAAGCCAAATAGCCTACTAAAATAGCCACTTCCCAAACGAAGCCATAGTATAGATAACTCTAATCAAACAATTAACTGCAAAATGTACTATCCATTTTATTAAAGGGAAAATTATATGCAGGTGAAAGTTGAAAACAAAAAATTACAAATACATGGAGAGTGTAAGTCTGTTTGTGGTGAGGTGCAAATAAAAAACTGTGGAGATACAAATGTCACTTGCACCTCTCCATGTGGTGATAGTTTTTTTCCTCAACTCTCACCTGCACGTAGTTCCCTCTTTATTAAATTTTGGACAATGTTCATATATGATATGATATTATATTAAAATCATATGAATTACAATCCTAATAATTAATACAGAAAAATTCTTAAAATGGGAGAAAAATCTCCCAATCTTAGTGAGATACAAAATTTGATTAAAGATTTAGCTAGTTAATGGAGATGCCATGCATACTACTTAGACCAATGTGTGGGCTTAGCTGGAGAATGAGGCCTATAATCAAACTTGGGTTGGAAATTCGTAACATTGTCTTCTGTTTTCTTTGGTTGGGCTTGAACCTTGGTCATCTTGAACCTCACCACTTGACAAAAAAAAAAAACCCTAATCACCTAAACATGCACAAACACACAATTGGATATTGCTTCTCTTTCCTTTGGTTGACATTGAAACTTGAGAAAATATGACTAAATAGTAAAATATGATTGGTTATAAATGTGGTTTCATGAGGTCAGTTTCCTTTCCTAGATGTCTAAACACCCTAAATATTAAATATTAACCCATTGTTCTATAGTGCATGAAGAAAAGCAAAAATGGCATGGCACATCTTGTGTATTTTTTTTTGCCCTCTCTAATATTAATGTAACATGCAGTAGGAAACCTTGGTATCAAAAAGCAATGGAAATGGCCAACATATGGAAAACCTTTCCGAAATCCACGAAAATCCCCACGACGAATGCAACTCTATGGAAAACCATTTCTAGATCAACCGAGGTCTCAACTACAAATTCCAACAGGCAGAAACTACGAAAATGCTCTTCTCTAAAGGTTGCAACCACGTTCACACGAGTCTGTTTGTGTGCACCAATCTCTTCCTACACCGAGGTTTTCCAAGCAGAGGTTCCACCAAGAAGAAGCAATAGTTATCCGAGATCAAAGCCATTTCCTACCCAACAAGAAAGAACTCCAAGTGCAAGAATTAGTATAGAAGGGAGGAGAATTTTTCGGGGAAAATCTTTGACCGATGATGTTTTAATGAGGAGATTTGTTGTGGCAGAAGAAGCAATGATGCAAGTTAGAAGGAGGAATCAAATGGAAATAATCAGGAAGAGAGCTTCCATGAGAAGGAAAATGCTTGGACCAAGCCCTCTAAGTAGAATGGTTTTGGCTGAAGAGGAATGAGAATTAACTAGGAAAAGCTCTATGCTTTCATTTGTTCAAAGAAAATTGATTTTTTTTTTTTTTTTTTTTTTTTTTTCTCCTTTTTATTTGGATTATTTTCTTGTGGCTTTTGATGGGTAATTTCTATTCTCTTTTCCTATGAAATTAAACTGGTTTGGTTGTGTTTTACGGTTTCTTTTCTTTTCAGTTTCATTTTCTTGAAAACGCATTGTTTGGCGAACTGTTTCAAGAAATTGGATTGGGAAAGTTCTGAAAAACAATCACTTTTAGGAAACATCAATAATAGTTTTTTGAATTTTTGAAATTGAGTGAATTGAAATGATAGTGTTTCCAAACATTTCATTGTTTTTGTTCATGGAAACACGAAAAACAAAGAAAACAAAAGCACAACCAAACAACATATGGTTTCAACCTAGAACTTTGTCTATTTCAAGAATATGTGGAAAAGTTTGTAAATCGGAAAGTTGAATGCATGTCATCAAGTTGATTTTGTTGCATTTGAGCTCTCAATGATGTTAGAGAATATTTGTAAAATGTACTGGTGATGAAAACTCTTGCAATGTTTGCATGAATTCAGATTACACCACCTTGTTGATTAATTATGTTTAAAAAATAATTACAAATAAGTGGTAAACTTTTTTTTTTTTTTTTTTTTTTAATTGGCGAAAGTCTTTGTTGATAAAAAAGGAAACTCAGAGAATTAGGAATTCAACTTTAGAAGACCTTCACAGACTTACAGGTTTATTAAGGTCTGCTCCTAACCTCAACATGAGTGGTAAGGATAAACCAACATGGTTACACTACAAGAAATTAGGGATTTAGCGGCGTTTATTTAACGGCGTTTAAGTAAACGTCACTTTTCTAACAATTAACAGCGTTTTTTAAACATTACATTTGTTATAAATTAAAACGGTACCATTTTGTGAGTGGAAGACGTTTGAAAAGCGCCTTCAAATCCGGTCTCTCTTCACACCCGGTCTCTCTTCGCACCCACTTCTGTCTCTCCAAACCTTTATTTTGAAAACCCTATCTTGAGCACCGCCGTCTAGACGATCGAATCCTGTCTCACTCACTCACTTGCTCTCTCTTTCCCGCAGATAATCGAATCTGTTTCTCCAAATCTCTCTCTCAGAGGATCGATTCTTCTTCAGTTCGGTGATTCATCTCGGGATTGCGATTTCGAAGTTCGATTTTGAGCACAGCTCCGTGATTTATCTCCATAGATTTGGAACTCTTCGTCTTCTTCAATCAGATTAGTTGTTTTGTTTGTGATTTATCTCTGTTTTGGATCAATGTTTTGCTTAGTGAATACTTTTGTTTAGGGCTCTATATAGGTCTTAAGCCCTTAGGGCTCTCGATTCTTCTTCACTCTTTTATTCAGTGATTCTCCTTCGATTCTTCTACAGGTCGGTGATTCATCTCAGGATTGTGATTTCGAAGTTCGATTTTGAGCACAGCTCCGTGATTTATCTCCGTGGATTTGGGACTCTTCGTCTTCTTCGATCAGAGGTTAGTTTTTCTGTTTATGATTTATCTCTGTTTTGGATCAGTGTTTTGAAAATTTGGTCTCAGTGATTTCATCTCTGTTTCAGTAATTATTTTTCACTGATGTGTTACTCTGCACTATGAGATCTAATTGTTGGAGTAATGAACATGTCTTATATTTGGTGGATGGTGTTCCTGCCTTATTGATGTTAATTGTCCTTTTTTTGTTTGGTTGTTGTGAAGATGGAATTTTGCGTCTTGAGGTCAACAGGATGCTGAGGGCAGGGGGACACTTTGTTTGGGCAGCACAATCTGTTTATGAGCATGAAGATAACTCGCAAAAACAATGGAAAGGTAAGCATCATGTCCAAACTAACTTGTAAAAAAACTAAAACCTAGAAAAGGAATCATGTCAAAATTACTAAAGTACATTGGTCAGGAACTATGGAATTCTACCCTGCTCACGGTGGGTGGAACTTCTTCTTAAATACAGTTGAAAGGTTATTAGTTATTTTTATTATTATTGTAAATATTGTGTAATTCTGAAGTTATATAGACGTGTGTGTATCTGTGTTTTACTCATTTTTGTGATATTTTCGTTTTTCTAGTTTCTAGCATGATGGTATGACATTGCATCTTCTTCTCTTTCCTTGTATCATATCTCTTCATTGCTGATTCCTGACCTTAATTGTGCACAGAAATGGAGAACCTTTCTTGGTGTATTTGTTGGGAACTTATAAAGAGGGAAGGGTACATTGCTATATGGAGGAAGCCTCTGAATAACAACTGCTATGTTAATCGGCATCCTCAATTACAACCTCCTATATGTGAAGCCAATGACGATCCAGACAATGTTTGGTATGTCCAGCTTTACCCCCATTGAGTTTCAACTTGGTATGTTCAACTTTACCCCCATTGAGTTTCAACATTACATGGAAACTGTCTTTATAATTTGTTTGAGCATTTTTATATATAGACCAACATTTTTGTATCAAGCATGCATATCAAATTCATATCGATCACATGAATGATCAAATGTACTCATCAGTCTTTGATCCCGAGATGTTGATACATAAAGAAAAGAGATTGATTTTTCTAAGGGCAATGAGATTTCATTTTGGTTAGGGTAGCAGAAAATTGGGGTTTGGTCAAATAGCCAAGTGCCATTACTTTTGGATGTCTTCTGGTGATGTCTCTGACTTGATTTGGACCTGAATATAGCACAGAACTGTTAGAAAGACAAACTTTATTTATTTAATGGCTCTACAAAATCAGTAAACTGGCTATTTGAGAATTTAGCATGATAAATTACGTTTGGAACCTGTTTAATCCCAGAGTTTGCAAGGAACTATATTCTCCAAATTTCTAGTTCAAATAGAATTAATTGGATTTCTAGTTCAGATAGAATTAATTTGCAAGGAGCAATGTGGTTGAGTTCTATGCCTTCATAGATTTAAGGACTTCTTTGGAGTATGTCGATTGATTGAAACAAACTAAAACTGATAGTGTATTACTGAAATTGTCACTTGTTACAAGCTTTCAAACAAGAACAAATAACAAGAATACAAAGATAACCGATTGACTAAAAGCTAATTGATACTCCTAGTTAAAAGAAGCTACTCCTAGATAATTGCTACTCCTAGTTATCACAGGTTTGTGAATGGGTTTGAAGATCCTTTACTTTGAATTCCCACTTTTGTTCCTTTGCACTAGCCACAACTGCTGCAGCCACATGTCCCTCCTTAATTCCTTGATACACCAAGCATGCTCTCTCCACCATTTGGAAAAGATCCTTCACTTGCTGTAACTGCTCTCCACTTCTGTGACCACATGCTTCTGGCTGCACCCTTGAAACACAACTCTACTTCAAAGGACTTGTCCACCTTGCACGTTCCTTACTTCAGATCACCCATTAATTCATCTGAGCCATGTCAGCACCTCTGTCAACAGGCCAAATTCAATATTTTAGTACCAACACAAGACCTCTCCTTTTTTATCCATCATACCTCACTAACATTGGGAAGAGAGAGTGTATGTGTTTGTTTAAATAATCTGAATGTTCCCTCTTCAGCTAAAAGCCTAAAACATCTTCATTCATTCACTAATAACACATGGAAAGAGAGATCAAATATCTATTTAAAGGAACAATCCCATATGAATTATTTACTTCCCTGTTGCGGGTATTCTTAGAATTGCTCCAAGCTTGTAACAGATTATTCAAACCCTACGTCCAAGTTGTTACACCATATCCTCAAGTTGATAATTTCTTACCCATGAATTTAGTTTATCTTTTAATTAGTGATGAACAAAATCTTTTCAATTTCGACACAAACGTCTAACTAAATTGATGCATTCTTACAGGTATGTCAGTCTAAAGGCATGTATCACTCCGTTACCTGAGAATGGTTATGGGGCTAATGTTACTAGCTGGCCCACACGCCTTCATTATCCACCAGACAGGCTACTTACCATAAAAATGGATGCCTACAATTCCCGAAAGGAAATATTCAGAGCAAAGTCAAAATATTGAAACGATCTTGTAAATGGTTATGTTAATGCCTTCAATTGGAAAGACTTACACCTACGAAATGTGATGGACATGAAGGCTGGATATTGAGGGTGCCTTCCTTTTTCTTCTTCTTTTTCATCTCTTTATATATGTTTACCCTTCTCTAAATCTGGAAGAGTGCTTTTTAATTTTGATTGTTTGAATTCCTATATCATGGGTACTTTGTTCATGGCAGGTTTGCTGCAGCATTACATGATTATGGGATTGATTGCTGGGTTATGAATGTTGTTCCTGTTAGCAGTTACAATACATTGCCTGTTATTTTTGACCGTGGACTCATAGGAGTTGTGCATGATTGGTATGGGCTATGCACCTTTTCTATATATTGTTGTGAAATAAATTCACTTGTACAAATTCCATTTTCTTGAATAGCTCAGGCCATTGAGATACTGCAAACTTCATCCACTTAAGTTGTAACTCATAAGTTTTAATTATTTTTCAAACTAATTCATCTTCATTGCATAAAAAAAATAATAATAATAATAATTTGGTCCATTGAGATTCTATAATTTGAAAGATATTTTGACTGTTAGTTTTCCAGAATAATTTACCTAACATGTCACAGGGTTCACTCTTTCTTTGCTCCCTCCTCACTTAAAAGAAAATTATATAGGGACAAAAGAAATTAAATTCTAGTTGTAGAATGCTCCTCAAGATGGGGAAAATTATAAATGCATCAGTAGTAGGAGTAAGGAAGAAAAGTGAAAAGATTTTCTTGATTTCATCCCCTTGAAAGACATTGGTATTGGAGAGGATTTCATTTGGCAATGAAGTCAATATTTTCCCTCCTAAATGTTAAAAATATATTTTCCCTCCTAAATTGGTGCTTGAGATTTGTAAATTTTTGCTCATGGAACTAGAGGAATAGAATTGGTTGATAACTATTTTCCACTTTCCTATTCAATTTTGAAGACAAAATTGTTATTAGAAATTGATTGGACCATATCCAGGTGATACTGTCTTGATCTACAGAGTTTCTTGTCAAGATATCAAATTTGTTATGACGAGAGTGGAGAATACGAAGTAGACGACCAGTGAAGAGAATAGGAGAAGAGAGAGAGGGCGGCGATGGAGGAGGCAGTGGCGGCAGCAGTGGTAACGCCAACAGTATTGAACGCACTCCATCTCCATCTCCATCTCCATCTCCATCTCCTTCTCTCTCTCGTATGTGCGTTTGTGATGAACCCTAGCTTTTGATTACAAGTAGCCAGAGTCAAATGTATTTTGAAATTTTTTTTTTTTTTTTTTAAAT